TGAACCGCTCTGCCCACTGTGGACTGTACCGAGCCCATTCCATGAGAAAACACACTGAACACACTGTACTGACCCACACTACTACACTGAGCATCACCATTCACATACAACCTTTGATTCAGTGACTATTGTATGGATACCATGGAATATTCATGAAGAGTTTCCATTTGTTAAACACTCTCCAAGACACATACAGTATATATGAATAATTGAGGATGATAATAAAAGTCAACCAAAAAGAAAGAGTTGTTTTCTCACCTTGTGTCTGCAGAGTCAGGTTGTTTGCATGAATATGTTCCACATTGTCCTTTTCTTACAAAGAAAAAAACAATCAGATCACTCTCACGTCATGGAAATGAATTCCAATTGAATGTACTGAGTCTCAAATATTGAGAAAACACTAACCTGCAGCTCCGCCTTCCTTTGTGGGGAATAAAAGATAAACATCCAAGTCTGCCAGAACAGTATGAGGAGACTTCCCGTGAGACTTTCAAAATAAACCCTTGCAGTTGGAATGTTTTTGTGTTCCAATGTTTTGGAGCAGCAACGCAAACATGTGGGATTTCGAATTTATTTCAATGTCACTGATTATAGACAACTTTTACTATACTGGGTTTGTCACTGTGAACGGATGGTGGGATTGTTTTTGAGATATTCAGCGAATGATGAGAGCAGCTAAATGTTAGTGGAACATGAAGATAGTAGGCACAATCAAAGAAGCAGAGTTGAGATGCCCTGGTTCTGAGATAAAAGAGGAAACGTACTGTAGGGTTGAAAGGACACAATCGTATTGGAGTTTAAGGTAGGTGTGTGTGTGAGATCCCTTTGTGACGGCAGGACACAGGTAGCGTTAAACTGACTTTTCAGAGTCCAACCAGGACTTGGCAGCGACAGGCTGCAGGACAGTGCGCTCTGTGTGCTGCTAATGACTGTGGCTGATGACATTTCTCCACTGTTTGTTGAAGTGTGGGAGGAACGCAAACTCCCTCCGATTACATTGTGCTTTCTCACAAATCCAAATGAAGACTTTAAGGGAGGTCAGGGGCCGTCGTGGCCTTCACCTTCAATATGGCTCAATGAGACACGTCAACCAGGAAGAGACATAAAGTAACCACAAAAAAATATAAAATGACTACAAAGCGATCAAATCTATACTGCAAAGAGAAACAAAATGACTACACAGATGCACAACACGAGAACAGAAACATGAATCAACTAAAAAGATATTTAAAATAAGCACAAAATGATTACAGGAAGATACAAAACGACTACAAAGAGACACAAACTGACCACAGTGACAAAATGATTACAATAAAACTCTAAAATGGCGACAAAGAGACACTAGGCGAAACAGATGACCACAGACACTAAGTGTTACGAAAAGTCACAAATGGACACAACTCAACTACAAAGAGATATAAATGTACCTTCAAAGATTTTAAGTAATGGCTTCAAAAAGACACAAAGTAGAAGAACAGTCACAAGAAGACCACAGTTAATATTAGTTTTCATTAATAAAGTCGGCTGAGTATTGGACAATGTAAACAAACACGGCTAAGGTTGAGACAGAGAGGGCGTCAGTGATTCTAATGGAGTCATTATCAGAATAACACTTAGTCCTGATGCATATCAATGAATGGATATTAGTGGCAAGACCGGACTCAAAGACACACTGTCTGATCTCTCAGCCAGGACAGAGCTAAAGAGAGAAACAGAGGGAGAGAGGATGGAGGATTGTTTGCAGCGGCTCACACAAAGTGAAGGATGAAAAGGAGAGCTGATTGTTAGAGTAGATCCTGATTAGCCTGGCCAAGAGGAGAACAGAGGGGGCCAGTGTCAGGATACACACACTGTACTACACTCACATGTGTTTCCAAGAAAGTCACACACACACACACACACACACACACACACACACACACACACACACACACACACACACACACACACACACACACACACACACACACACACACACACACACACACACACACACACACACACACACACACACACACAAATGAGTGAGGGGGAGCAGCATGTGACTGTTCAGTTCTGTTGGTGGACTTGGACACTTTCTGAATTAATGTCTGCCAGACATCCTAATGATTTGTGCAATTTACAGATTATTTTCTCTTGAACAGAAAACTATTTGCAGGGTCGAATTTGGAGAGGATTTCTTAGGCAGACCTGTAATATGAAGAAGGGAAGAATCCCTTACAGGGGAATTTCTTTTTGAGCGGGAAGATGCTGCAAGAAAGCCAAAACAATATAACTTCTCATGCATACATCTTACTTTGGAAAATCTAAACAATACAATTATTAAATGTGTACATTTGTTCCCATTGTGTCCCGGAATATACTGACTGAAAAATCATAGCTTGTAATGAGGATTTGATACTTCATATGGTTTGTGTAAATTAATTTTGCTTTAAATTAAATAATACTTTATTACAGAAGGATTACAGGTAAATCCAATTGATTTCAGACTTTATCACATTTAATAATAAAGAAAAATACCATATTACATCATCTTATGCAAAATGATGCAGTCCTTCTCACTCCAAAACAATAGAGGGCAGTAGTAACTTTGCGCTGGTGAGAGTCAGCTGTACCACCGCGGAAACGGAAACCAAACCGCCATTCAATCGTTGCTGCACTAGCTACGAAAAAATATCAAAGCAAGGTGGTAGAAATCCGTTAACGTTACCTAAGTGCATTAGTATATCGACAGAAAGTAACAATGGCCCTAGAATCGAGGATCACACAAGAAGAAATCAAGAAGGAACCAGAGAAGCCCATTGACCGAGAAAAGGTATACAGCTAGATATAAAGTCTTAAGTCCGGTACAACGTTAGCTTGTTTACGTTAGCTCATTAGCTCTATGGTGAGCTAACGTTACCTGGCGCTGCTAGCCAAAAGTGCTAACTGTTTGGAGACTGGTTAGCATACGTTGAAGACTGCAAACAATTAGGACATATGCAGGCATTTTTTTCCTCCGTGAAATATTATTTAGGTCTCTTCACTACCGGTAAATACAAGGTGATTGAATAGTAACTTAGCATCTGCAGCGTGCTAGTGCTAGCGTGCTAACGTAAGTGCTAGCATGCTATGGGAAGCTAGCAAAATACAGGTTTCTACGAAACTGCTATATTAAGTTAATAATATATTACTATATCAAATGTCATAACACGAGTACTTTGCTATATTTGTAAATTACCTCAGTTCAGTTGTCATGGTGGGTTTTAACGCAATTTGTTAGTGTAGTGCACCCGATAATTACAGTCGTGCATTAGTGAGATATCCACAGGTGATTCTAATATTCACTGATTAATTAGTGGTGGACAAAGCTAGTTCAATGAGTACACTGTGTATAATTGAACATTCAGATACTATCAAGACTATTAGTCAAGTTCAACACCTTCTATGGAAACTAATGGTATTAAAAACTGTTATCTTTTGTTGTTGGTAACCACTATGGGCAGCTAACAATCAAAACCCCACCACTGTCAAACAATGCACATGAGCATACCATATTATTCAGGGCCATCTTTAATAATGCACTGTGTTATCCCAATATTAATGTGTGTGTGTAATGGGTTCATATCCAGGGTTTCATGTCAATTGTTGTAGTGAGACAACATTGGGTTATTTAAAGGAATCACTCTATTTTAAATATTTAGATTAGTTAATTTAACTTTTCATATCCGCCTGCTGAAATCTAAATTGTTTACTTCTCTTTATATTGTTAATTTGATGCTTATTTTTGCTGCAGACTTGCCCCCTTCTGCTGCGAGTATTCACCACCAACAGCGGCCGACACCACAGAGCAGATGAATTTGCCCGTGGCAATGTTCCCTCCAGCGAACTGCAGATATACACATGGTGAGATTGCAAACTCTTTTATTTTGATGTGTCAATTGAACATTTGACAATGTTGAGATTATAAGACTGTGTGCTTTTCAGGATGGATGCTACTCTCAAGGAGCTGACCAGCCTGGTGAAGGAAGTGTATCCTGACGCTAGAAAAAAAGGGACCCATTTCAGCTTTGCCATTGTCTTTCCTGACCCCAGAGGGAAAGTGTACAGGTGTGTATTCCACTACATTTGTTTGGCTCATGGAGCTGAACAGTTTCTTTATACCCTGGTGATTTTTTGTAAACTATATATTAAAACCTGTATCTGTCCCCCCTTACAGGTTGAAAGATATCGGCAACACTTTATCTGGCAGGAAGGGCGCCGACGACTCCATGACGTTGCAGTCTCAGCGCTTCCAGATTGGAGACTACCTGGATATAGCTATCACCCCCCCAAACAGAGCCCCACCCATCAACCCACGCATGAGGCCCTTCTGAACATAAACACCAACACATAATGTAACACACATCAACATAATTCTGTTTTTTTGCTTAATTTTTTTCCATTGGATGCTTTTTAGCTTCATTTTATAAAATGTGACGTGTAATAATAAAATGGTCATTTTTCCAACATGTCTGTCCTTTTCTGTGTAACATGCTGGGGGATACTATAAAGAATCTTTTTTTTTTTTTTCAAATTGTTTATTAAACTGCAGTAGTATTTTTTTAAATAATCACAATTGTATAATATTTAAGGCAGTATATGTATACCAACTAAACCTATTTGGAGTAAGAATTCCAGGTAAAACCTCAGTGATGTTTAACATTTTAAAGTTTGAAAGCCCAATTAATTAAATTGTAACTGCTCTGAGATTCTGTAAATTGGAAACTAGTTGAACTATTGAAGTGTCATTAACACAATTATGATCAATTTACAACAAGTTTAAAATGCCGCTGCAGGAATGTTAAGTCTAGGAATTTATACAAAATTAAATCTGCTCTTAAACGACAAATAATAATTAAAAGAAAACGTCTTTTGGCATTGCTGTAATATAACCAGCTCTTGGGTCATTGTTGCGTGTTGTGCGGATGGGCATGAGGGAGGATCTTATTTTGATACTTATAACCGGAAGTTGTATGGCTGCGCATGCGTATTGCAACATACTGACAGCTAGCAGAGAAAACAGCCAAGCTAGTCAACTATTAGCTAAAGAAAGCAGCTATTTTCACACAAAAACATACGTTGAAATGTTTAAGAGAAAACTGACAGCGTTAGACTATCACAACCCCGGTGGATTTGACTGCACAGGTGAGCCTAAACATTTCAAGGAGCTGTTTAATGTGGGTCAGTGGGCTAAACGTGGAGCTGGCTAACGTGTATGCAGATAGATCCTGTCACTGAAGACGACATGCCAGACTCTATTCATAAAACTTTTATTTATTGTAGCTTTTTGACTGAGATACCTGTAGGACTATTAGGACACGGTGTGAAACTTCTATACACCTCACACTTTTATTCGGCTTTACTTGCTTAATGTATTACTTTGGGTCTACTTTTTTATTGGCATATGTTTACTCTCATACTTTGTAAAGTCAACTTGAAAATGACGCACACTTTTAATAATTTTCGGGCTGCAAATATCAATTAACCAATGCTAATATGTAAAGTAAAATGCTAGCTTGCCCAAACGTAAATGTGATGCTCTGTAGAGATTAATCAATGTATTCAGTTTGCCTCTATTACTATTATTGTACTGCATGAAGCCATTTGTGCAAACGGTCTCTCCTCTGCTCAGATGAGACTCAGTACAGAAACTGCATCGTGTGGCTGGAGGACCAGAAGATTCGGCATTATAAGATCGAGGAGAGAGGAAACTTGAGGAACATCCCGAGCTCAGACTGGCCCAAAGCCTTCCACCAGGTGAGACACTTTGACATGTAGAAAACTCCTGCTGTGTTGAGCTATTGTTGTGAGTTGTATCATGAATGGAGTGCCATTTCCTGTGTGCAGTACCTCCAGGACCTGAACTGTCCGTTCGGAGGTGAGCAGCAGCCGGAGGCAGTAGACTGGTTGCTGGGCCTGGCTGTAAGATACGAATATGGAGACAATGGTGAGAGGGCAGTATGTGTGTGTCTCCTTTTTGAACTCTGACACACTGTTGCGTCGTTACTTCTTCTATGTAATACTGATGGTGACCAGCAGATGGAGACATTATAAAAGGAATACTATGTTCTACTAATGCCAGCTCATCAGTCACAGTGAAGTTATTATTTGACAGTCAAATTGCCAGACATTGTATTGAAATCTATGGAACCCAATATCCTTCAGTAATGCAAAGAAATACAATCATATCATCCTTGAAGTCAACATTTCTCATGAAAATGACTTAGTATCTAAATAATGAATTTGTTTCTTAACATAATGTCAACATTTCTCTAAATTATTTTTGAAGCATCTTAATATAATGAACTGGTGTTGCAAATAAATGACTTGTTGTAGAAAATACAATAACTTAGTACCATAATGACTTGGTATAGCAAAATAATGCCCAAGTCTCCCAAAATAGTGACAAATTAATGATATATATCATAACGTCATAACTTTTGAGAAAGTTTCACATTACGACTTACAGTACAGCGGTTTTTTTCAATCACAATTGCTCCAATAGAAAACCAAGAAATACATAAATGTTAAAAAAATCTTTATATTCCTGGTTAGATTCTCACCCTGTTTTTATTTCTCTCCTCAGTGGACAAGTATAAGAACTGTAAGCCGCTGGCAGCCCCCACCAACAGCGACAAGGCAGTGGACCCCCTCCTCAACCTTGACGGTAAGTAGAAACACTTCCTTGCGTCGTTGCACTTTGCTTTCACGCATTCTTTCTCTGTTCTCCATGAAGCCTTTGATCCTGAGTGAAAGACGACAGTTGTTTGTGTTTTTCAGGGGATTCACCAGATTTCAAAGCAGGAGTGACAGCTCTGGCTAACATCCTGAAGATACAGCGACATGACGACTACCTGGTGATGCTCAAGGTTAGACATGTTCTCTTTGCTGTCTTCATGACTTAAGAATACTTATTTAATATGCACATGTCATACTTACCAGTTTTCATGTACTCCTGCCAGGCTATTCGTATTCTGATTCAGGAGAGACTCTCTCCAGAAGCCATCACTAAAGCCAGCAATAATAGAGAGGTAATATTTTATATCATATCTAAAGATTCCTATTTCACAAGTTCTTAAATTAAAACCCTCCAATTAATGAACTATATCTGTAACATTTGTATGTGTCTCTGTTTCCCAGGGTATTCCAGTAGCTTTAGACAATCACGTCTTGGGTTTTGACACTGGAGGTGAGTGCTGCTTTTTAAGAAGGATTCAAAAAAGGAAGTAAGAGGAAAAGATACAATCACGGTTTATTCATTTCAAATGCATTTCCTCTCAGATGCCGTTCTGAACGAAGCGGCTCAGATCCTGCGCCTGCTGCACATCGAGGAGCTGAGGGAGCTACAGACGAAGATCAACGAGGCCATCGTCGCCGTTCAGGCCATCATCGCCGACCCAAAGACAGACCACCGGCTGGGCAAGGTCGGCAGATGAGAGCGACGAGGAGGAGGGGGGACGCTGGAGGAAGAAGGGAGGGGCTGAACCACGGGAGTTTTAATTTGATTTTGAGAGGAGAAGCCTTTGTTGGAGTTTTGTATTTAATTTATCAGATATGAAGTAAATGCCAAATTTTCACATGCTGTCTTTCCTTTTTGTACTGCAGCATGGAGGAGTTTACACGACACGTTAGAATAGATTTTGATTTAGCAGGTTTCCGCTAACATCTTAATTTCTTCCTTCTGAGGTAGAATGGTGTGATCATCTCCAGTGTCTCCCTCAGTGGAAATGACAGAGAAGCTGATGAAATATTCTAACGGTTATATTTGTATCTTTTGTTTCCAGAGGTTATTTTGAAAACGTTGTTGCTGTGTGGGAAATGTATAAATACAGCTTAGAGATTGGCATCTGTGCTCCTCGTTTGGTTTTTCATATTTAAAGAAGCATCGGGGCTGGAAATAAGACACACAATAAACAACAACAAAAAAGCTGTCAAGTACCAAATCACATTTTATTGTTATAAATATCACATCTTATAAAAAGATAAAGATTTAAAAAGTAGTAGTAGTAGTAAAAATATTTGGCAAAAAAAGATTGTAACGTCTTTTCATGGTGTGTGAAATACAGATTATGAGTGCTGTGATCTGACTGAGGGAAACATTACAATCTGATTACAGTAATCTGATTACAGTAATCTGATTACAAGAACACTTTTCTGTCACTCAACAATGGTAATGGGACTTGAAAATGACAGTGGTATCAACGTCTCATCAACAAACGTTCTCTCTTACATTTAAAAATCAGGTTTCATTGTTCTGTAGCTTTAATCGAAAGATAAACAACTGGCGTACAAAAATACAGTAAAAAAAACAAACTAAAAATGAGGTATAAAACAAATTTACAAAACATTTATTTGGGGGTTATATCTTTAAGGTGAGATAATGGGCTCGGGGTCAGGGGGGAGTGGAGGGGATGTTAATTTGCTGACAGTCGAGCTGGCAGCCACCATCCCCTTTTTCTTCGGAGGGACACTGGAGACACTTCTTCAGGAGGTCCTACCCTCCGGTCGGGAGTGGGCCCCGAACTTTAGCACCAGAGGACCCTGCAGCTGCCGCTCTGTCGTTAGTGGCTCCCTGAATCACACGGGTCAAACATTAAAGGAGGGAAACTAACTCATGAGTTCCATTCTGCTGGAATGACACACCTCCTTTTCTTCTAGCTTGTGGAAATGAAGAGTAAAAGGACAGATTTTCTCTTCCTGTGTGAATCCAACAGGGACAGGATGAGAGGCTGCCGTGTCCTAATGACAGAACAAACAGCCTCCGCTCCGAACAAAGACCTGCACTTTACAGCCTGTGGTGACTGAATTATCTCCGTCAAGAGCATGTGTGTTCATGCGTTCAACAATAACAGCTTTTAAGCCTCTTACAAGCAGCTCCCTAACCTGTAGCAAGTGTTCAAGAGCCGTCATCATGGTCACAATTACACCACGCGTCCACGCTTTGAAGAGAGCGGCTGTTATGTAGTCTGAGGCTTTAGAGAGTGTGAGAGGACATTCAGAGCAACACACAGCCATTTTGAGACGCTCAAACTCAAATCCCTATCTATCGTGAGCAGATTTCGACGCTCTCTGCAGATGTGTGTAGCTCCGACGACGACTTCTGCCAAGGTGCTACTTTAGGGATTATCCTGTGCTTAGAGGGCTACTTTGTACTTTCAAGGTGTTTAACGCCAGGCTTTGAAATGACTCGGAGCCACCTGCAGACATCAACACATCAAACATGACACACACAAACACAAAATGCAGGCGGAGGGTCGCAGGCAGCTGTGTAATCACCGTTCCTGAGTGGAGGTGAAGTCACCACACACGGTGCAGGACGGCTGAGCCAGCTGTGTGATCACTGTTATCTTTGAGCAGGGTGATGAAACACCAACCTCTGTCTCTTCAGGACACTCACTGTTTACTTTAACTAACCTGATCTGATGTGGTTCCTTTCTCAATTGTTTGACTTCATTTTTATTCCTAACTTTACTCACGAAATTACAAGCACCTCAAAATTGTACTTAAGTACCGTACTTGAGTAAATATACTTTGCTACAATACGCCACTTGTTTTTTGTTGATCACTGGTTTGGGTTTTTATTTGTAAATTGAGCAACTGCCACGCATCCTAATTTCCCCTGTGATGAACAAGTATTTGAAATGGACAGCCCCTCCCTCACATTGATATGCATGGACCTCATGGGATAAAGCAAAGTGTGAATCTCTATCTCCTCTAACACATGTGTCACCTCAAGTGTGCTTTCAGCCTTCTTTCTTCTGTCTTCCTTCACTTGTACAGAGTGTGTGTTGTCCACCTCACTCAAATTGTTTCTTCTGCTAAGCAGCCCGTGTAGACATCGTTAAAGAAGTTCATATCTCCTGTGTGTCCTGCAGCTGTGTAGGGTTAACTGTGTGTGTGGATGCAGCCTTCAGGGTTAAGGTGACATCAGGTGGGAGTCGACTGATGTGGTGACACTGCACACAAACCAATGAGCTCACTGTCTGCTGCACCTCCAAGTCAGTGTGGGTGTGGGGGTGTCATTATATACAATTACACATCAGAGTGTGTAAGTGACAGAGAGTGATAGTGTTTAGCATTTCACAATACCTGATAGACACTGGGTGGTTGCTATAGCGATGCCGTAAAGGTGAGAGCGCTGGTCAGGCAGGAACTCGTCCATGATCTGACTGCTGTCTTTGTTCACTGCGATCACTCCGTCCCTGAGAACACACAGACAGTGTGAGCAGAGCTTCATCCTGGTCAGAAACAAACACACACACTCAGATATATAAAGATGGCTACCTCCTCCAGTCAGTGTAGTAGAAGTGGTTCCTGTAGTACACCATGCTGAACGGGTAGTTGAGGCTGGGGTGGACCACTCTCCGGTTGGAACCATCCGGGGACACACACTCTAACCGCTTCGTACCTGTGAACAGAGCGAAACGTGGATCATCCTTCTGTTATCCATGGTTTCTTAGATAATGTCTTTTGAAGCTCAGATATTAGAAATTAAAACAGTATATGAGGTGGCAGCCTGGAATATGCATCTCATTTGAGTTGTTTACCGCCTGCTTACAGTCAACTACTGTAGATGCACACCCAAAGGGAAAGCCACATTCAACAGGAGACACTTTATGACCGTTTTGGTGGGGGTGTTTACCTGCATCGGCCCAGCAGACCTGAGAGGAGGAAGAGTCGTACGTGAGAGCGTTGGGCAAACCGATGCCGTCAGACACCACCACCTTGCGGTTCTGTCCGTCCACTGACGCAGACTCGATCTTCGGAGCCTCTCGGTTCCAGTCGGTCCAATACAGAGTGCTGCAGAGAGGAAAACAGGGGGGAGGGATTATAATATTTATCACTCTTAATTTCAAGTGTATCCAGGCTGGATAAACAGCTTTTTAAATGTTTTTAAACAACCTCTGGGATCTAGCTAATATAAGGAGACAAGAGGAAAACCGCACACCCGCAAACACACACACTCACACACACACACACACGCAGGGTATATAAAGGTACAAGGGCACCGGGCCCTAGGGAGCAGCTGTCTCGCGCTGATGAGGTCACGGTCAGGTTACTCTGAGCAACATGCAACCTTTGCCCCCCTGCAGTTTAGTTTCATCTCAGACAATATGGACCACACTAGCTGACAGAAATAGGCACAATATCCAATCTCAAATAAAGCAGTTTTGGCTTATTTCTCACGATAAGTTTCTGTGAAATTGTTTTTATATTTCAAAAGCTTCAAAATGTTGGACTGCAGGATCATAAGAGAGCTTCAGGCGGAGTGTGTGTGGGCTGCTGATGAAGCCACGCTGCTTTTCGTCTGTAGATGATGGTGTACATGTGAGCAGTCCGCTGGGAACTGCAGGTAATACACACCACATGAGCAATCAACTTACACACACATACACCATGTGTTTATGAGTCTGTACGTTAATTAATCTGAACGTATGGCTGAACATATGTTTTTGCATTAGACACATGTACGTGCTTTTATAAGTGTGTGTGTGTGCGCGCGTGGACTTTCTCTGTGTCTGCTTCAATGTGTGTGGTTATGTCTCCCTTAGTGTGTGTGTGTGTGTGTGTGTGTGTGTGTGTGTGTGTGTGTGTGTGTGTGTGTGTGTG